AAGGAACAAGTGGCCGCCGTGGCTTGCCCGTGGTTGTGGTGGTTGCGGTGCTTGAAGGGAGGACTCAGGCGGGAGGTGGTGGTGGTGGTGATAGTATTATGGGTATGGTGCGAATTGGCAGATTGTGGGAGTAGCTGTTCAGTGTCGGGGAGGGTCGTCGTCAAGGTCATCCTTGCCGACGAATTCGTATTCACCTTCGCTGGCAGTGGGTGTGGGCGGCATGTTCGCCGACGACGGGGCATGAGGCTGGTTCTGGCGCGCCGTACCTGGTCGTGATCTGACCTTCTCGGCCTCCTTGGACAGGGCTGCTACCGCATCATGAGCGGCTTGGCGCTCGGCAGGCTTCTGGGCAGGGCCGTTGCTCTTCAGGCGTTCCTCCATTTCGCGAATGCGACGCTCGAGGGCCTCAAGTTCGTTGGTCTGAGTCTGAACGGTTTGCTTGCTGTGGACCACCGCGTCAGTAGTTGGCTCTCAGATTGGCGGTGGGAGAGCTGCCAGAGTAATTGCCGCAACGTACCGCTGGACAACCTTCTCGTCGAGGTCGGCAACACTATTTTCAATGCGAAAAATGTCCATGAGCTCCGCGGAGAAAGAGCGGGCAATAGTACTGCAAGTTGGCAGTCAGTACAGCAGCTCGGTGAATCCAGTAACGAACTGGAAGGGTGTGGGAAATTGGTACGCACGATTGCGGGCGGCGACCGTTGGGAACCCAGTCGCGGTCAAGCTCAGCGTCGGTCATGTTTTGCGCCATTTCGTCGGTGTTTTACGGGTGGTGCAGAAGCGGTAAGTTGAAGAGTTGAAGTTGGAGGGAAGGATGGCGAGGAACCAGGGAAAGGATATGGCTGGGTTCGCGGTCGACGAAAAGGGAGGGTGATCAGCGACTAGTGGGCGGTTGACAGTATCGACAGGGTGCCTGTCACACTAGTAACCCAGGCACGCGGTTGCAAATGTGCGGTGGGGAGGGTAAGTGAGATAGATGGTGTAAGAATTGCTGGGCAGTGATACGGGAGCAAGTTGGAATGCGGTGAAGATGTTGGAAGAATGCGCCGTCGGGAGACGAGGATGAAGGCGGTCGAATAGTTGTTTCGTCTGCAAGCGGCAGGGAAAAGGGGATCGCTGGTGGTGCTGAGAGTTGGTACTGGCGAGTGGTGGGAGGTGGTGGGTTCCAGGTCAGGTAGGTAGGTTGGAGGAGAAGAACGAGAAGGCAGGGAGCAGCAAGCCGGCTTTAGATGCGGGATGAGGTGGACTTTGTAAGACTCCCGTCGGGGCAAGGGGAGGAGGGGAAGTCAAGTCGGCTTGACCTTGGATCTTGGACGTGGTCATGGATGGACATGGACACTGGACAGTGCAGCAGCTGTCTGCGTGAGACACGACACCAAAGCTCGCTCGCTCGCTCGACATCCAAGCCAAGCGGAGCGGTGCCTGACATCAGGGCCGCCGCCTGTTGGTGCACATGGGTTTTGGATCACCAGCCGGGAATGGTTAAGGGCCAGGCACAGGCGCAAGCATAAGCACAAGCACACACAGTGGTCTGTCTATCTGTACGGTACCTCCCCAGAAGGCCAAACGGTGTACCCGACAGGACATGCAATGGCCTCCCCTTCCCCTCTCATGGGCCATGATGTGGGTGGTGGTGGATGGTTGCTTGGTTCCCGGCGGTGGAGGTGCAATTACCAGGTTACCATCTGTAATCAGCTGCAAAAGGAAAGGCCTCGAGACCCAGTCAATTGGGCGCAGAAGCAGCGAGAAGGGGGGAAGGAGCAGTGGGAGTGGGAGTGTTCATGCGACCAGGACCTGACCGGGACAGGCGATCCAAATCTAAAAATCACCGCAAATGGGTGGCCCGCATGGAGTTGACCGCATAAATTAGGCTCCTGGCACCTTTACAGCGATACATTGTACATCTTTTTCAGCGATGGATGGCCAGCAGCAATACTCAAGTGTTGGTAGGCGCAGGCACACGTCAACAAGGGGTTTGGGGAGGGGGATCACCCCCCGAAAAGCATGAAGACGACCGAGGGGGGGGTGTTTGAGGCCAGTATCGGGTCTCGACGACTTGGACCGCCGTCCGGACCGCATAGTGCCTTGTGTCGCCGCATTCTAGGTGTAAGCAGTCCCTCAGTCCCCCGCGGGCAGAACATGTCGTTGGTCGGTAGTCGAGGCAGGGCCGAGGCGGCGCAGAACTGCCGTCGACAAGCAGGGCAGGTTGGGGCGGCAATGGTGATAATGGTGGATGATCATTGATCAAGAAAGACCAAAGTTCCATATGCAGCTGCCGCCCGACGGACCTGCAGCTCAAGCCTCAAGGACCGCGCTATGCTAAGGTAATTAGCGAGGACAAACGCCAGGCCTTGCCCGTCATTAGCGGGGAGCGGGAGACTGCCTTACCTTAAGGTAAGGTAAGGTAATGTTCCCTCGCCCCTTCCATGTGCAGCTGGGACCCTGGAAAAGAGTACTTCAAAGTACGTTCGGCCACATTCCTTCCCTAAGGTACACGACGAGATACCTCCGGGGGTATGTACCCCACACCTTCGGGGCAGGTGGCAGCACATCACGAACAACGCCTCTCCACGAGTCCAGTCCACGAACACCACCACCAACCAGTCATCAGTAAAGTTACCTAGCAGTGCTATCCCACGACACCTTACCTTAAACATCCTTCATTCCCCAGTCCTCGTCTTCTTCATCATGCCCGCAAATTAACCCCTCCCTCCCCAAGACGGTCTTTCGCTGTCGAAACGAACCAAATCACCCGGCCTGTCCTGTTCGTTTCTCTGCACTTTTATCCCCATCTTGATCACTAACTGCAGTTGTTCGGACTTCCTCGCCTCAGCCAGTCAGCTGCGACGAGTCGTCTGGCGCATGCATGCCATGCGCATTCCCCAACTGTCATTCGCCAGCCACCACATGACGTCCGAGTCTTGCAGCTGCATCATGTGCCAGATCTTTGTCCAGATGAGAGATAACGGAAAAGACCCTGCAGATGTGCCGCGACATTGCCGTCCGTCTCTTTGACAATGGAACCTCGACAACCTCGACAAGCATTCTATTCTCCGCCACCTGTTCATCTTGCACAAACCTCCGAGGCCTCGATGTGCGACACCCAACCATCGTGCGCAACACCATCAGATCTCATCTCACAAATCACCCCTCCTTCTGCACTACAGAACGAGGAAAAATAGGGGGCAACTTCGCGACTGTCAATTTGACATGACATCAAATTTCGGACCGCCGTAATCAATTTGACTTCCTGGTCAAACCACACCCAAACTTGATCAAAGCGCCATAGGGAAGTCCCGCCCTAGCGCCCAGCCGCCAACACCTCTGGTCGTTCTTTAATCTCGCCAACCCTCAATTCCAACCACTCCCGGAGCCCTCATGGGCCTCATCCAGGCCTCATCCAACATCTTGGGCACCCGCGCTTGGGGATCTTCCACCTCATCCCCCTCTTCTCCCACACAGTGTTTCCCTGGTTCCTCTCTCCCTGTGAGGCGGCCACGGGGGCCATATCCCCCCTCGAGAACAAGCCCAACGCGAACCTTGCGCGATTCTTGCGTATCCGTATGCCCCTCGCAAGCGCAAGGCAAGGCCGCGCCTTCGTATGATCCAAGTTGCGACAAATGGATAATTAAGACACAATGACGCAAACTCCCTTTCCGACATCGACCTTGCCGACTCTCCGAGCTTGGCCAATGCGAGTAATAACCTCTAGCGAGTGACAGATTAACGCGGGGCCTCGGCTCCACTCGCTGTGCACACAATCATAATTACATAACGGGTCGCAAAAACTCGCGTTACTGGTAAGAAGAAGTCGATGGTCATATACTACGAGAGAGGTTCGAATGTGCAAGGCAGCGTGCCTTCCATCGCGTCGGCGAGACTACCGGTTCATTCTACGCCAGAGAACGCCCGAGGCGCTGAGTGAGGCTCAACTAATATCGCCCCTTAGCTTCTAGAGTTTGATGAGGAAGTCACTATCGAAAGATTCTATGATGGCCACGTTGATCAGACATAAAAGCAACGACAATAAGCTTAATCGACCGGACAACCTTTGCAGCTCGTCGCAAAACAAGCTGTTCAGCTGCTTCAGCTACATCTGAGGCAGTGTCCGAGTGATTTGGAGAATTTCAATTCCCTCCGCATACCCAAGATCCGAGGGGAGAAGCTGCTCTGATCAGCTCTGCTGTCATTCGCGCGCGATGTCGTTCTCTAGAGTTGAGCCTCTTCCGTGCGCCGTGTCCCTAGCGCGTTCGGACGTCGACGACATTCAGACGAGGGGCCCTGCGTCAACGGTATCTTCCGGGTTGTCACAGACAAGATCCAACAGTGATCCGTCCTCTCGGGTCTTCATGGACGAGCGGAGGTGAAGATTCACCGAGCCATTGCTCTCCTCGGTCAAGGAGCAGTAATACTCAACTCGGACCCGGCCCATACTGGCCAGCTTCGTTCGCCCAAGTAATGCTGACGACTTGCCCCGCGCCTGACCGTCGACGCACCAACGCAGCAACGGCACCCTGATGAGCAATGAGACGTCTGTCGAGCACCGCAAAGCGTAATTACCGTGTCATGATCTCCTATTCAGCAACCGCGGGAGAGCTCTTGGGCTCCGTATGAAACTTGAAGCTGCCACACACGTCCATGCGCATATTGGCAATTCTGCGAGCGGGTTTTCGGTAGAAGACGACTCTCACGGCCCTGATACCAGAGTACTAGTAGTACACACACAGGAAGCACTGAAAACCGGGGCGGCCGTCATTGGGAGGCATGGACTTGTTCATGGTCTATTTTTTGACTGACGAAGCAGCGGATGTACGATCAACTCCGTTCCATTTGCGATGCTAAGCAAATCCGATCCCTAAGGCCCAAGGTATAATGCTTCATCGAGCATCTGTAAAGCCTCCTGACCAGGCAGATGATAAGTGACCAATCCGTCCCAATTGTCCTCCCGATGCCGTTTTTTTTACTTTTCGTCATGCATACCAGCGGATGGTTGAAAGGGTTTAGTCAGAGCCACCGACGGCACGGGCTGTGACATTGTTAGATTGATTTGTTCTGTCCTCGACGAGTAAACGGGCTTCCGTCGACGTACTGTAGATCTTCATCTTGCTGTGCTGAACGATGGGCTTGATGATGCCCTTCTCCTCGAGGTCGGCCAGGCACTTGCGGGCCAGGGAGCCGTTGATCTTGAGACGGTCGACCAGGACGGCAACGGTCACCAGGCGGTAGGACTGAACATCCTTGTAGAGCTTGTCGGAGGTGGTCTTGTCGAGGATGACGGCGTGCTGGGCCTTGTCCTTGACCTTTCCCTTGGACCTGTGCGATGCGTGAGTCGACTTGTCGATGGGTAGAGAGGGGAGGTGGTTCGATGGTCGTCGGTTTTCTTCTCGATCGCACAACGCACACACACACACACACACAAGAATCACACGTACCACTATTTCAGGTGTTAGCAATCATTTGGACCGAATCGCACCAAGTGGGAAATTGTGGTATCAAACGAACCTTCTTCTTTTGCTTCTTAGCTCCAGCAGCGGGCGCCTTCACGGAGAACAGTCAGTAACATGTCTTTTTTTCGCCAAGTCGACAGCATCTCGTCGTCGCCTTCGAATAAGGGCCCGTACCATTTTGTCTGATTTCTGGTTGTCGTCGGTGGGATATCAGGCACCTGGGGCGGGTTTGCGGTGGTGAGTTAAGTTCACTTGGAGGTCGTCGGGAAAGGCGAGCGCCTCCACTCAGACCACCGCGGATTTCACAGGGCTCCAATACCCTAAGAATTTCCTGACGTAATCGCCGCTGATTGGCCCCGACGCGACCGGCGCCCCACTTTCGGCGACGTCGAAGCGTGGGAAAAATTGCAGCCAGCCAGACGAGAAAGCCCTTGTGGGCTGGGCCACCGCATTCGAGGCGAAAATTATCCACAGCTGGGGTGAGATACTGGCTCTTCGACATCTTCACATCCACGACCACCACATTTTCCCCTTCGTTCACTCGAGACTCCCTTTTCCAAGGTTCCCTACTAACCCCCCCAACAAAAGGTCGAGCGAAAATGTCTGACGGCGGTGATATCGAGGTCGAGAACGTCGCCACCTACGACGTCCTTCCCAAGGACGTCGTCAAGGAGGTCGGCAACGTCAAGCTCTTCAACAAGTGGGATTACGATGTTGAGGTCCGCGACATCTCTCTGACGTGAGCCTCTCCCTCCCCCTCCTTAAGCACGCACGCACGAATGCGACACGAAAAGAAAGAAATCACACAAGACACCCACGAGAAAGTACTTGCGATGCTAATTGGGACTTCAATCGAACAGTGACTACATCTCCCTCCGCAACCCCGTCTATGTCACCCACTCCGCTGGCCGCTATGCCGTCAAGCGCTTCCGCAAGGCCAACTGCCCCATCATTGAGCGCCTCACCAACTCCCTCATGATGCACGGCCGCAACAACGGAAAGAAGCTCATGGCTGTCCGCATCGTTGCCCACGCCTTCGAGATCGTACGTCACCCCGGAACACTTTGAGAACCCCTCGGGAGGAAGCAGAAGTCCAATCGCACACACACGGGGGCTTGGCCAAGCACGGGAACGAAAAAACAAAATCGAAGGCTAACATGCGACCACTAGATCCACCTGATGACCGACCAGAACCCCATCCAGATCGCCGTCGACGCCATTGTCAACTGCGGTCCCCGCGAAGACTCCACCCGTATCGGTTCCGCCGGTACCGTCCGTCGCCAGGCCGTCGATGTCTCCCCCCTCCGCCGCGTCAACCAGGCCATCTCCCTCCTCACCACCGGCGCCCGCGAGGCCTCCTTCCGCAACGTCAAGTCCATCGCCGAGTGCCTTGCTGAGGAGCTGATCAACGCCGCCAAGGGCAGCAGCAACTCGTACGCCATCAAGAAGAAGGACGAGCTGGAGCGTGTCGCCAAGTCCAACCGATAAAGGGTTTCGCCACATTTTTCTGTGGTTTCGTCGTCAGGAGAAAAAGAGGGACCTTTACTGCCCGAGCATGGGTTTGTGGGTTTCAATTGCTACTGGGACAAGAGATCTGGTTGGGGGACCGGGAGGAGTGCTGGGGTTTTGGAAGGAAAAACAAAAACTTCATCACACACTCACGCCTGTGAAGGGAATGTTAGGAGTACCGTCGAAAGAAATGGGACCCTACCTTCTTACGTCGTAAAAAAAACTTTGCTTTTTTGGGGACAAACATCAAACGGAGGCGTGGTATTACATTACAGGGCAATCATCATCCTTTTTTTTCTACCTCTTCGTAAAAGGAAAAGTGTATGTATGTTGCGCCCTTTTGCATTTGCGCGTTCGGGAATGGGGAACGCTGCTACGGCATCTTGTCTCTTACGGCTCTAGGTGGTTTTCCAATACGAAGCCAAGCTCGTCAGAGGGCATATGATCAAATACCTTAGCCATCCCGCCTATCTCGCCGTGCCCTGGAGGTTCCCCATAAGAAGCCATGTATGTGTGATGACGAGAGATGATGGACCAGGATAGAATTAGGAGATAACCGTGCGGCATTGACCGACCTCTATTATGTCCTACGAAGCAAGTATAATAAGGATATTTTGGACCGTCCGTCCAGAAAAGTAAACGACTGGCCATCGTCAATCACAAGTCATAAGCTCTCCCCGAATGCTTCGAAAGGCCCCCTCTGCCTCTCATCAACAGACCATATCAAAAGGCCCAAAAAATGCTCAACCCCTCATACCAGAGGGGTGGTCTCGGGTTGAACGTCCAGCCGCATAAACATACCCTTATGCTCGATGCCCTCCTCCCACCAAGTCCCCATACCTTCGTCAACGGTAAAGCCCATCTTCTCCCACATTTCCACAACCTGCTTCTGCGCATGCACGCACACCAGTCCCTTCCACTTGGGCACCTCCTCCGCCGTCGACGCCCCGATCTGTTCCAGGCCCATCTCTTTGATGCTCGGGTCGAAATAGCTCGGTTTCTCCTTCAACCATGCCAGCACTGTGTTCACAAGCAGCAGCGAAATCCGGTGTCCCCTAAATCCTTCAATCACGGCCAGCCTGCCGAGCTTCACGTACGGCTCGATCCCATCGTGCAGGTCCGTCGCGCGGTCCGGCCCTGCAAACGGCCGCGCCGCCGACGACCGCCTCTCCTCGCCGACGTGCTCCGCCGCGCCCACCACGCCGTCCTCCTTGACGGGGCTCTTCATCTCCTCCGTGGCCGTCTCCACCGCCTCGCTGCCGCCGCCGGCCCCCACCTTGATCTCCTCGAGCTTGCCGTCCCAGTAAACGCCCCCGTACTTCGGGTGCGGGTCGTGCGGGAAGGGCACAAGGCGGATGGTGCCGATGGGCGTGGCGCGGGTGCTACTCCGGCGCGGCTTGACGATGTTGCCGTCGGCGTCGAGGACCTCCTGCTCGACGACCTTACTGACCGAAGCGTACGAGACCCAGTGGCACGCGCGGCTGTCGTCGGCGTCGAACTCGTTCTCCGCGGGCACGCCCTGCTCCTTCACGAAGACCTCCTCGCGGACCTCCATGGCGTCGCAGAACAACTTCGGTATGGCGGCGGGCTGCTCATCGTGCGCGCGGCCGCGAATGTAGGCGTCGAGCCTGGTCGGCTCCAGGAGGGAAACGAAAGGCGTTCCCATGTTGGCGGTGGTTGGTTGGGGTTTTGCTTTTATTTTATTTACGAGAACACGTTGTAGGTTAGGGCCTGGGTTTAAGTGAGATGCGACGAACAGGTCTTGGGGCTCGCTTTTAGAAGTAGGTTCTTCTTATGTATTGATGCGAGGTTGAAGTCAAGCTCAAACAGACAAACGTCAGGAGTGTGTGTCTTTAATGGCAGCTTCAGGTTTTCAAGTCTGGAAAGAGGCAACCTAGAAGTCTCGTCTCATTTCATCAAGCGCATGAGTGAGGTTAAGGCAGACACTAATAAGAGGGCAAGTGCAAGTGCGCTTGACAGGTGCAGGAAGGACACACACAAGCAAACAGAAAAACGGGGAAAGTACCCCCGCCACCGAGTCTAACGTAGGTAGTCAGCCCTGGTCGTCATCCGGGAACACTTGGACTTCTGCTCCCACCATCCAGATTTTGCGACGCATCCCATGTGCTCAAGGTGTCGTCCGTCTTCCCAGCAGCAGGAGAAAATTCTAAAAATGCACCCAGCCGCCGATACATGGGAATGGGGCGGGGTTTGCCTGTGGTAGAGGGCATGAAATGACGTTTGTAGGTACACCTCCCCGGTCCCCCGGGTGGCGTTCAAGCCGCCGATCCAAGCGGCGTGTGTGGGGACCCTGTGAGGACCGGACTCCGGAGGAGCAGTTGGTCATTCGCGAGTTGGCTCACCTTTGCGTCCATCTGAGGTTTCTCAGGGTCCTCTGCTTCACGTGTGCTTCCTGCATGTGTGGACCGAAAAACATACTATTGGACAAGGCATCAAGATCGACGCGCGAATCCGAGGGGCCAAACACAATGCAACATGAACGGCGGCGAGCTTGATCTGGCATCTCGGGCAGTAGCCCAATCACCAGTGCAACTGTATGAATGTGCGGGGAGACAGGGTCCAGCTTTGAGAGGTGAGAGTGCTCTTTGCTTGGCTTCGTTTCGGGATGCGTCCTCGCATATCTTGATTCATTCCCTGCCTATTCCCTGTCGGATTACGTCTTCTAACACCGGAACAATCGTCCGTATCTCGGGGCCGGCTACGGGTTTATATCTCTTATTGTGGAGTTGTCTCTTTGTTTCCGTATTTATGCACACTGATATTAGAGGCTGTATGCATGAGCAACTTTTGTATCACTTGTCAATTTGCAGTCCTTCATACGCATCAACCTCAAAATATGTAGAGAGTTGAGTGGCTTGTGTGGCTGACGAGAAGCGCACGCCCAGTTTGACTGCAAGCACACATCAAGGATCAAGTTATCAAGGTCACACCCTAAAGAAAACGTGGCAGAAGTCCAGAAAAGGCTGAAATCCGGCGAAGAAGGGCGATGAAGGCTTCTTGGACTCAATAGTATACACTCTTGGATGTATTGGTCAGCAGCATGGGCACCAAGACGATGCGACGTCTACAGTACGACAATTATCGGAATATGTTCATGGATCACGACTTCATGAGTCCTAATCCATCGACCATGCACGAGTCCAGTCACATCAACGACACGACTGTAGTTCCGGCGTCAACCACAAACTTGTCCTCAACGAAGGCATCACTGCCTCTGTATTTCACATGCGTGAAAAGCACTGGACATCGCCCTAGAGGCAAGGTAGTGTCCAAAACCCGAAAGTGTAACTCCTCGCACAAAAAAGGCTTTCCCAGCAGCAGTAGTAGTTCATCCTCTCGGTATCAAACTCTCCCCCATATTCCTACCCGCGCACGCACTTCTCAAGGACGGAGAGAAGGCTTATGCGGCAGCAACCTCGACGCTCTGCTCAACACCATCGGCGCTGCCAGAGTTGACCTTCTTGCCGGTCTTGGCAATGGTCTGCAGGACCTTCTCGTAGGGCAGGCTCTCCTCGGCGACGACGGTGGCGGTCTGGCTGTCGAGGGAGACCTCGTAGGACTTGACGCCTGTTGGGAGGAACCACGCGTTAGCGAACATAGAGCTTCGAATGTTGTCCAAGAAAACGTGTTGCGAGCATCGCCAGGGTTGCCTCTGGTGTCACCGCCGTTTTTGCGCCAGGACACACGTGCAGCAAACACCTAGTCCAGCACGGAACATGCTCTCTCCGCAAAAAGCACTCACCATCAAGCTTCTTCAGAACACGGTCAACGGCACCGGAGCAGCCGCCGCAGCTCATGCTGACGTTGAACTTGTAAGTGTGCTCAGACATTTTGATTGTGGGTGGTTTCGAAAAAGGATTCGGGAGAGTTGGTGGTTGTAGTTGGTAGATGGAAAGATGTTCCGGAATGGCGTTTTTGGCGGGGTAGGATAGCTAAATAAAAAAAGGAGGGGCAGCGGCTCTGTGTATAGGTATGGTCTCCGCTGCACTAGATGACGGGCAGTTCTTTCTGACTTCGGGGACAAAGGGGTATCTCGGACTTGACGACGTTTGCTGAATGAGACGAGAAGGAAGGGACGACGTTGATTATATATCCATCCCAAACCAGCATTATTAATTACCGTGGAATCGCATACCTCTTATCACCCACCGAGCGCTTCAGCCGTCGATGGCGCAAGAGCTCCCTTCAGGTCAGGTAAGCACACCTAATACCCGAAGCAGCGCCCCCCAGCCCCCCCGGACACCGGCATCAGCGCTCCAATCGGCCGTCACCCCCCGAAGGTCTCGTTCTGAAACTTGCTCACCTCCAGCATGGCTCCCGCCCAAAGAATGAAGAACCAGCAACAAGCACTGCAGCAAGACTTCAACAAAGTGTCTGTCCCTTTCCCCTGAAACGTGCCCCATTCCCGCCCGTACCCGTTGAGCGCATTTCACTTCACATCATCGCCGCCTTTCACACCTGCAGCGTCCCAAGGTCCTGCCCCTGAAAAGCCCCTCCCCTCCAGATCGACGGTGCTTGTGCAGCAAGCAGCATCTCACAGTACCGAAGCTCGGGAAAGCTCAAGGTGTCCTTTCTTTCGCCGCCCACCATGGTTGCCTCGGTGCGCCCAGCTTCCCTCCATGGATGTCGCGTGCGGTCGAACCCGTCTCGGGTAACTGACGGGGTGCAGGGGTCCGTGTGCAGATGAGCCCGGGTCTTCGTGAGCTGGGCAACGGCAGGTTTTGTCGAGATTCAATGTGTCAATGGAATTGTTCCATGCAAGTTTGCTGCTTTATTTGTCTAAGTATACTACAGGGGAGGGACAACTTTTCAACAGGCCGGCCCAGCAAATCCTCCAGATATTCACTCTAGTGGAATCCACCAGGCATCCGGGGCTCGCTGTCCTCGACGTCCTCATCGGCGTCCACCAACGGCGGCAGCTCGTCGTCCTCCGGATCTGTTTCCTCGTCATCGTCTGGAAGCCCACCCTGCCATCCGCCAGGTACCAGGGACGCCAACAGGTCCGCAAGTCTCGCCACAACCCCGGCGGACGGCGGCTGGCGCCCATCGCCTTCCTCAAGGTCGTCGTCATCATCGATGACAAAGTCACCTTCCCAAGCATTGCCCTCGCCATCCTCGTCATCATCAGGGAACGCACCCATCATCGCTCCTGCACCAGCGCCCGCCGCACCAGCACCGCCCATCACAGCGGCCCGCTCCTGCTGTCTCCTCAACATGTTCATGAGCTGCCTTTCTTGAGCCAGCATATCCCGTTCACTGGGTCCGCTGCGCCAGGGCATCTGCGTTCCCTGACTTGTGAAGATGTTTGACTCCTTCGGCGGCGGCAGCGGGTCGAAAGCGTAGTTGGGCTCCTGCGTCAAGATCGACCTCGGGATGCCGCCGAGCAAACTCGGCGCATCCTCAAGCCACACCCATCTGGCCGTCCGGGTGTCTGGTTGCCTGTCTTGCGGGAGGCTCTCCGTGGGCTTCTTTGCAACCTTGACGGCTTCCTTGAGTACTTCGATCGCCTGGGCGTTGTTCCAAATGTCCTTTGCCTGGTGCACATAAAGCCGTGTCCAGAAATCGCGTTCATCCGTGTCAGGCTGCACAGCCCAGAGGGGAGGGGGCGCCTCGAGGTTGAGCGCTTGGAAAATGGCACAGTACAGCCACGGAAGGCGCTCCATGCCAGCCACAGCGGCCGTCTTTGCACCTTCAAAGTCGCCGAGTTGCAGCTTGGCCAGGACTAGCGTTTGCGTGATGTAAGTGTCGTCCGTCTCGTCCGACACATACTCCGGAGTGTTGAGGAAGTCGACGAGCCACTGCGCCTGTCGCGCGCGGATGGCAAGGACGTGGATGAAGTATTTCATGCCGTAGGGGTCGTTGGGGTTCAAGCCGTAGAGCAGTTTTGCCCACTCAAGCGCTGTCCTGTAGGTTCCCTTGCGGACCAGGCTCTTGAGATATGTGTACCCAGCAAGCCAGAGCTCGCGGTTCTCTGGGCGGCGGAAGTCCAACCGAGCCTTGCCCTGCTCCAGCTTCTGGCGGAAAGCAGACGTCGTAGCCCGGCCGAACGTGAACAGCGCCCTCTCGCAGAGGTCTGCCGCAAGAGCTTGGTTCTGATCTTGCACGGCGACCTTGCTCACCTGAAGCAGGGTCGAGATGTGATAAGGGTGTCGCATCAGCAGCTGGACCAGCTGCATCGGATCGCCCAGCTGTACGCAGCTGAAGAACATTATTTGCACATTGTCGTAGGCCTGCTCATGCACAAAGGCGAACTCCACGAGACCATCCGTGCCCTTCTTGATTTCCTTCATGACTAGACCGACGGCAGTAGCACGGGGCCAAGTCTCCTTGCCTTGGATAAAGACGTTGCGCCGCAGGGATATCTCAGGGAGCTTCTTACGCGGGTCGCCTCGGAGAGCAGTCTCGAGGTCGACGCCCTGATTTGTGTGTCGCTGCGCTCTACGCGCCGCCTCCAGCTCGGCTCTCTCTTCTTCCTGTGCTGTCTGGATAGCCTCCTTTCCGAACAGCGCGCGCATTTCGTTAATGGCTCGAAGGTACTGGGTATTGATCTGCAAAAGCTCGTCGACGTCGCGGCTTCGCTGCGCAAGGTTGGCCGCGGCATTCGACTCGTTCTTGCGGGCAGCGCTGAGCTCCTCAAGCGCTCTG